ACACACACACACACACACACACACACACACACACACACAGTGAGCGACCCATCCCTCCATTTGCTCAGTGAGCCACTCCAGAAGTTAAACCATGCACGGTGCGCTCTCGATACCGCAAAAAAAACGAAAAAGAAAAACAGTGTGGCAGTAAAATAGGTGTTGCGGCAGCAGAAACCGAGATGACGCTTAACAACGTCAGCACTCATGTGGTGGGAGATTTATCATGCGAGATTAAAGCAAATCTGGAGATTGTGGATGTGTTGTGTAACATGTAATTCCTACATGTATGTAAATCCCCAGCACGTGTGCACTAGGACCGATATATCTTTGTTTGAAAAAAATGAAGAAAAAACAACAATTAACACTTCCTTCTCCAAAGCGTCTGAAGTCAACCATGGTCCGTTGTTTCTCCACAGGTCAGAGAGACAACAGGCCTCTGGATAAATTCCAGCTCACGTTCCCACTGAGAACCAACTACATGTACGCAAAAGTGAAGAAGAGTCTGCCAGAGATGTACGCCCTCACCGTGTGCATGTGGCTAAAGTCCAACGCGTCCCCGGGAGTGGGCACACCGTTCTCCTACGCAGTCCCGGGTCAAGCCAACGAGCTGGTCCTCATAGAGTGGGGAAACAACCCGATGGAGATACTAATAAATGACAAGGCATGTCTGACGCGCACAGGAAATGTTTCCATGTATTGGTCTTAAAGTGTGACTGTGTTTTGACTCGCTGCAGCAAACGTTCACGTCGTATCCGTCTCCTTCTAGGTCGCCAAGCTGCCTTTTCTCATCAATGACGGAAAGTGGCATCACATCTGCGTGACCTGGACCACTCGTGATGGTGTCTGGGAAGCTTTCCAAGATGGCGTCAAAAGAGGGAGTGGAGAGAATCTGGCTCCATATCATCCCATCAAACCACAGGGCCTGCTGATCCTGGGTCAAGAGCAGGTAAACGCAACGCACATCAGACGCTTTCCATGAAGGCAACACGTTTTTAGAGCCACACACACACTACATGTGGAGAGCATCTTTACTGCTTTGTAGGACTTAAGGCATGAAGAGAGTATTTAGCGTGTGCCATGGGGTGAAAGATTGTGGAAAAGTAATTTTTCCATTTCATTGTGACATAAACAAATCTTCACATCCGTCCTTGCTGTAAATTATTAAGGCGATTAGATCTTTAACCGGAACTCATCAAGAATCCCAGTGGATTGAAGATGCCTCATTTAATTTAGTCGGTCAAGACAGTTTGGGTCTTTCCACAAAGCAGCCAGAGGGAAGAAAATCATGTCTTCCTTGATTGAATCCAATGGTCTTTTCCACAGGACACACTCGGAGGAGGATTTGACGCAACACAAGCTTTTGTTGGAGACCTGGCGAATTTTCACATCTGGGATCGGAAACTATCTGTCGGAGAGATATACAATCTGGCGACGTGCAGCAGCAAAGCGCAAGTGGGCAACGTTTTTGCGTGGATGGAGACGAGCCTCGACATTTACGGAGGTGCCTCAAAGTGGACATTTGAAGCCTGTCGCCAGCTCAACTGAACTGCAGGGAAAGAGGAGATCAGTGAATTTTGTCAAAGCCACTCTGTTGTCACAGCCGTGGTAAAGTAATTTGAAAAGTCAGGATTATTTCAATGAATAGCATCTGGATTTGTTATAGATATATGAAAACATCATTCTGGACACTTGATAGATTTTTACCAAATACTCATGTGGGGACAGGTCACTGCAAACGGGACACCTTGGCATCCCGTGGCGCTTGAACGCACCATCAGGCCTAGTTGTGGTTTGGAAGAAGCAGCCGCTGACGCTCCAGAGAGCAGAGGACGCTCTCGGGGGATCGAAACGTCAGGCCGGCATCAAAAGTACAGTAGGAGGTTATGTAGTTTTTAGCCAACAGATGTCACGCAATTCAGCAAAACAACTGACTTCTTCAAACGTCTTTTCTGTCTCGACTGCCAGGGTTTCTCACTGTGAAAAGGACAAGGTGGACTTCTTTAAAAAGAGAGGTGCTCTTCAGGAGGTCATAAAATAGACAACTTTGCTTCTCTCTCACTATTCTTTCTCTTCCACCACCTGCTTGACGTGATTTTGTGTAAAGAATGACATATATATTGCCAACATTCGAGCCTGAGTGCCTTGGGCTGTTGAAAAAAAAAAAAAAAATTTCAGCACATTCATTACGATTTGCAGAGTGTTCGTGTTTATTTTCTTGTAAAAATTATTTTGAAAAGGTGTTTCTTGTAACACTCTGAATGGGGTTGGATCAGATTGTTTATTGAAAAATGCAATTCATTGATGATAATGACGCATTTTGCAGATGTTTGTACTTCAATGGGAATGTTCTCTGTACAGTAACAGCATGTCTTAACTTCTGTAAATGCTGCGTCAGCATCTATGATCTTTGCTTTTACGATATGAATTTGAGATTTTATACTGTATTGTTACATGCTTAAAGCATGGCAAGACGGACAGATGAAAAAAGTTCTAGTTTTTGTAATAAATTGTGATACTTGAATCATATACAGGTGTCAACATATTTATTTGCGAAATGTGCACACTCCTTTTGAAACACAAATTTAAAGAAATAAGGTCCTAATTCACAACAATTAGAAGGTCTAAGTTTCACCTCCAGAATCCTTAAGCTGAGCATTTAGCAGCTCAAGAGCCAGATACTTTCTACCAGGAGGTGGTGGAGACCAAACACAGAGCTACAACCAGAGTGACTATTGATCTGACAGAAGGCCAAAGATTTATTACAGGTTTTACAAAAACGTCATCACAATACATGCAGCTTGTCTGCCAACATACAACAGCATCTTCACATAAACCAGCATACAATTACGAAATACTTGACTGCGAATATTTTTCATCAAAACTAAGTCATACCGGCAGCGATGTGAATTTCGGACGGTTGCAGACCTTTTTCAATAAAAAGGTTGCAATAGTTTTGCGCAGGCAGAGGAACAGCTATGTGATCTTATTGATCCCGAGCTGCCTCTGGCAGTCTGTCTGCGGTAAACTGTTGTTTAGCCGAAGCTACTGTAAGATATTTTATTTAGTTTCCTTTTAGCAAAATGCACTGAATGAATCAGAGTTCCCTCTGGTAAACAGTTCCGCAGTGTATATGTCTAGGGCTTTTATTGTGAAAGGAAACGAATGGAAGAATTGCATCCTGTATGCGCTGGGTTATGGCTAGAAAGGATCCGTCACGACACAAAAAAAATCACGACACATTCTCGTGTCATCCGAGCGACTCCGGAAGAAAACAAACTCGGAGGGGTTCCGGATTCCTAGGTGGACGGGAAGCTCCTCGCAGAGGAGAGAAGTTGCTTTTGTACGTTGATTTTTCCACGTACTCTTGACTCATTGTGAAACAGCATAAATTGAATACCGATTCCCCTAAAGATCCGGCTTCCCTGCAGTTGGAGCTCCAGTGGGTGGTGGCGAGCTCAGCGCCCGGCCAGGAGCTGAGATTCGCCTCTTTGCTTCGCCGGTCCAACACAGAACCTGGTGCCCGGATGACATTATCGGTTTTCTCCACAGGGGCCGCCAAAATCAACATAAAAATTTTAATTCCTTGCTGTAACTTTAAAGATAATAAAAAAATAACCTTACAATTGAATTTAGTTCATTACTTCATGATAACCTGAATCAGTTAAACATGCCACACAGAACTGCAAATGCAACTCTTCTACAAGTGTAGAAATACAAGATTACTCAACGACTGCAAGGCTGCCCGCAGAACACCTGAACACAATCGCTGGTGTTTTACACGAGACAGATCCTTTCTAGACATAACCTATGCGCTGCCTTTGTCAAGGTTGAAAGGAGTAATTAAGTTTTCAGTCTTGGTTTTGACTAACGAGCCTCCATGTTGTTCTGCAGAAAAAAAAAAAATAATTCTCACAAAATGTGTAAATTAAATTAGTTTCTCATCACAGCTTTTCACACAATTCAGTACGACATGGTTCAGGCCTATATACGAGTCTAGATTTGGGAAAAACAACACTAGATAAGAAGACATGTTAGGTGGTTTATTATGGTCCAGGCTAACAGGCTATATTATTACGGTGAAATCCTACTTAATCCCATTTAAATTATGGCAAATAGAAAAACCTCATAGCATAGTGTAAACAAGTACGAATACTCTGTGCAATGTCATTTTAACAGGAGAATAGCTGCAACTTTTCATCCTGATTCCATGAAGTATGGAAGAAGGACGAATTAGATGGACTTGCCTCAACTTTACAAAACAGATAACTTTCTTCAGTGACAAATCCGATCTCAAGGTGGTGAAGTTCACAAGAACATTCTAGAGAAGTACACTGTAGACACCATCATCCTAAAGAATCATCACTTCTACAAAGGTGTGCAGAGACACTATTACATGTACACTGTAAGTACACATACAGAAAAACACGAGTATTTCTGTCAACAAAAGGTTGAGATCACACATCTCAATCCATACAGACTCTCTGCAAAAGAATCGAAGCTGTCACCGCTCACATGAGAGGAGATGGCAGAGACTGGAGGTCTTCCCTTTATTGTTAGCGAGGTCACTCAGTCCCACCAGAGACGGGTCACATGTTCTGCAAATTGGTTTCCATTCTCTGCCTCTGAGCTGGAGGGACATCTCTACATCAATAGGTTTTCCCCAGGCATCAGACCCACTGCAGCCCGTACCCGTCGCACAGCCATTACAGACGGTGTGGCACATCTGGGGTTTGACAACTAAAAGCGACACACAAACACACCTACATATCCACACACAGATATGTAGAGACATACACACACAGTATGATCTCTTGTTGAGTGGCCACTGGAGGCCTAGGAAAGAATTCAACTTCCACTCCCTCATCCACATCCACCACCTTATTGACCTACAGACCACAATTGTCCAAATCAGCTCTTTTTTTCCTCTTGACCTAAATCTTGTCAGGTATATTTTTGGCCCTGCCAGATAATAACCAGCCTGTTGACCTATCCCAAGCTTTCCTCGGCCCTAATTGGTTTGTGCATTCATGCACTCCGATTCAAATTGTTTTGGAGAAAAGGTAAATTATGAGGCGATACTTGTCCACCACGTCTGCCTTCTCTTATTTCACTCTTTATCTGAATAGCACACGACACAAATCCATCACGTCTGACTGATCTTTGTTCATATACCGTATGTTGTTCCCACACTCACTAATTTGTCTTCTACAGTATGAAATAAATACATTTTTCAGCTTTTACGGGTCATAAAAAAATGCAGTTGCTAACAAGTGGCTGAGATTAAACGTACCAAACGTCATCACTCAGAACACTAACCTGCCTTTAGCCAACAATTTGGATCTTAAAATAAAGTAGTCAATGACATTGGCTGCTGAGATCTCATAAATTGACTCAAGTGATGTCACTTGAGTCAGTGACAGTTGGGGCTAAGGACTTGAAGTTTGAGAACGGAAAAGTGTGGAGTTAGAAATTCATCTTCGCTCGAGACGAGCAGATCTATAGGCTACATTAGCTGCTACTAGCATAGCACACCTGAATCTACCAGCCGATCTGTCGGCAGTCAAGTTGCATTGTGGGTAATGTAGGGACCAGATTTTGACAAGGAAGAAGAATGCGTGGAATAAAAACTGTCCATCGTGGGTCCGAACATGTTATAGGAGGGCAGAGCAAAATCGGTGGAGTACTATTTTAATGTGAAAAGCTTACCGTGCTTTATAAGGTGAACATAAAGGGCTCATCAAGTGGCCGATGAAAAATTAATGACAAGAGGATCAGAAAACAAACAAACACTCTAGGTGGGCGTGAGAGACATTTAACTGTCCCACTGATGCTGAATAAGAGCTGTTTTTTGCTGAAAAAATGATGAAACTGGTGAGATCGGCATTTCTTGATAACTGTTCAGGGAAAAAGAGAAGCAAAAATAATATCGTATGATTTGCGTAAATCATCAGTATACTTTTATTGGATGATATGGTGCTCACTGCAAAAACGCTGACGCGTGTTTTTATTTTGCTGAATTTTTAGTCTAATTGTTCCGAGCGGAGAGTGAGGGGAACGAGATTTATACAATTCTGGCTTGGATTCAAACCGACATCTCGTCTCTCACAAAACACCAGGAAGTCTTTTATTTTATCACTTTGCATCGACAATGTGTCCTTTTCTACCCAATCCCGATCCATCATGAGTCAAATCTTTCAATGCTCTACTTAAATCTTAGGCCCACATGACTGCTAATGAACTCTTTAAACAATTATCGATGGCGTAATACAGCAGTTGTGTGTTTAGAATGGGCTTTAAATGCTGCCAATGGAGGGACACACAAAAAGACTTTGGCTTGCATGGTGAAACAGAATATACATGAGACACACACACACACATCCATACTTGTCCTTAATCTCAGAGCTACTTCTGCAGCTGTCAGGGTGGAGCTCAACCCTCCATGCCACTGAATGAATAATTGATTTCCTCCTGACAGGGGAAATTCCCCGTCCAGTGTATCACCCAACGAGCCTCAGCCCAAATAGATGCCAAAAATGTCCCTCCTCGAGGGAAATGCAAACACAAAATCACAGCACTATTTTGAGAAGAGTTTGTCAAATGAGTAGATATCTAATTACTTCTCAAGGGAAGAGATTATTTTGGATTGTTTTAAGTGGAAACACTGAAGTCGCTCAATTTTGTTTGTACATTACACACACAGTAATAACTCTACAGTGTACATTCGGGATACATAGACAACTTGAAGTTGTTGTCTTTTGTGACAATTATACTGCAATGCATAAGCAGTCATAAAATCAACATCCTGACAGTGTTGTTCAAACAGATCTTAGCAAACTTACCAAAGTTCGCAAAGATCTGGCCCCAATTTTATATTAAAACTTTAAAAAAAAAAGATCAATCTTCCATATCCAGAGCAAGCGCACTGACGTTTCCTTTAACCCCGCCTCCCAGCCGCTCGCACTCATTCTGACTCATTGAAATGAACGGCATGAGAAAAATAACTCTGGATTCAGCTATTAGTGCATCTTACAACTTTTAGGACCTGATTAAAAAAAATGTAAAGTTTCTTTACCCATACACGTCTCCAGGAAAAAGTATTTTTGCGCTCTGTGGCATCCCGTAGTAGCGGACCAGGGAGTTGCAATTCCTCATGACTCCATCAGTTTCCTTGCACAAATGAAGAGCGTGTCCACTGTTCCCAGACCAGCATGGATCCACCTTTGTCTGCCTGACCCCAACACCCCAACAGTGCAACAGCACATTGTTATTTTTCAGAAGTAACACTATGGGAGGGCAAACCTGTGTGGTCAGTACATCTCCTAAGAGCACAGTTTCTCTTGTCTAAGGGATGGCAGAGCAGATTAATGGTGTAGTCCAACACATCCTGGCATCCTTCCTTCCTTCCCTTGGCTCAACGCCCCTCTCTGCAGCTCGTTACGTGTTGCCTCTGCACAATGAAGCGTAGGTTTGCTTTTTTCCCTCGCCAATGATCGGACTGAATTTAGGATTAACCCTAACCCTACAAG